CCCCCCCACCACCACCACAAAAAAAAATCAAGAATGACGTTCCCACAGACGGCGCCAAATTGTTGCTTTTTGGTGAGGAAATAGCTTAAGCTTCATGCATGGTGTGATAGTCGATGTGAAGCATCTTAGGAGATGACAAGTAGCAGCAATCCTAACAAAATTTATGGGATAAAGTAATGAGAGAAAGTTATACAATACATCATTAGCAAGATCCAAAATACCATGACTTGCAGGTGTGTTTTTCAGGTTTTACTCTAAATGAAATGCCCCATTATCCCACCCTGCGCTAGGCAAACAATTAGAAATCTCATACATATCAAATATTCGGTTACCACCAGATGTCGGTGTAATGTGTATCTTAGGCCCAAGAACATAACATTTAGAAATGCTCTAAATGCCCTCATCATCTGCATCAAGATAATCCTGATTATTATAATTAGAGGCAAGCAATGGGCTTTAGAGTTGCAACTCATATACTTGAACAAGGAAGCAGACATTGTAGCTAACTTGGGGAACTGCCACCCGCTCTAAACATCAATAGGCAAATAAACATCTACCAACACCAATGCTCTTTCATCCCCTAATTCCTAGGAGGAAACCTTCAGAACCCTTGCTTGGATCTTCATGCACTTCTTGATCGTGAGCGTGTACAACTGATGAAAGAGGCTCATGAATCTTTCCAACCCCATTCACCTCCTCATGAACTCCACTCCACCCCACCCTAGTCGTCGCCGCTTCCACTATTCCAAGCAGGGCTCTCCTCCTGCTCCATCTCCCTAGGTGCATAACTTCATAGACAGGTAGCAAAAAGAAGCCATCCTAAGTTCTGAATCCGACATTGGGGCCATCATGAAAGAGAGAGTAATGAATACAGGAAGGTAGGCCTCAGCGCTACTCAGAAGATGGGGTCACTGCGAGAACCACGTGCAGAAATCTACAAAGCTTGTAATACGTGAATAGAATCGGTAAACTTGTCGTCTGCCATGACAGTAGAGATTTTGATAGTGGAATAGGGTTTTGAGGGTCTAATAATTTAGGGTCTGGATGCCATTTGAAGAACCGAATGCTAAAGAATACAAAAGGCGAAGAGACGGAGAAGCAAATGAGGAAATTGGGCAGCAAAGCCAAGCAAGGCACGAATTGGACTTTCAAAGGAGAAATAATTTCTTGTCATTTTTCATCAAACAGACATACTCCTCGCAAACAGATTCCTCCCTCAAAAGTCCAATATGAGCCTATCTTGGCTTCGCTGCCCAATTTCCTCATTTGCTTCTTCGTCTCTTTACCCTCTATATTCTTTAGCATTCGCTCCTTCAAATGGAATCCAAACCCTAAATTATCAGAACCTCAAAACCTAGTCCATTGTCAAAATCGCTACTGTCATGGAATATGGCGAGCTTACCAATTTTGTTCGTGGTTACAAGCTTTGCATATTTCTTTATGTGATTCTTGCAGTGACCGCATCTTCAGAGCAGTGCTAAGGCCTACCTTCTTGCGTTCCTTGCTCTCTCATTGCTGATGGCCCTAATGTCAGATTTAGAATCGAGGATGGTTTCTTGCTACTATCTGTCTCCAAAGTTAATGCCCCTAAAGATATGGAGCAGGAGGAGAGCCGTGCTTGGAATAGTGGAAGCAATGGCGACGATGGTGGAGTGGAGTTCAGGAGGAGGCGAAGGGGGTAGGAGGATGCATGGGAATCATTCATTAGCTGCACAAACTCACGGTCAAGAAGTGAATGAAGATCCAAGCGAGGGTTCTAAAGATTTCCTCCTGAGAATTTAAGGATGCGAGAGCATTGATATTGGTAGATGTTTATTTGCCGATTGATGTTTGGAGAGGGTAGCAGTTCCCCAAGTTGGCTACAGCAGTAGCATCCTTATATAGTACAACTAATATATCAAGCTGTTGGTAATATGCCAATTGGATTGAGTCAAACGAGTAGCAATGACAAAAAAAAAAGGACATAAAACCGAAAAATCTAAAATATTGATCTGACAACTTAAAACTGATGTGTCCAAATTATTTGATTAACATCCTATCAAACTAATTTAGGAGAGTAATTGCTGGCCTAAGTTAAAGTTTATTTGATCGAAGAAGGATAAAACCAACTCTAATACGTGCTAGAAGAACCCACATAATAAGTGAATAGAAAATGCACCCACAGAGTGGAAAACTTTTGAGAGTGTATAAAGTTCAAAAGCTATAGATGCAATGAATTAAAAAAGGTGTGATTCCCATCTATGAAGAAAATGAAATTATTTGAGGATAATTTTTTAATTGAGTGATGTAATGAATTAATAAGGGTGCAATTCTCATCTATCAAGAAAATGAAATTCCATATTAGGGCGGACTAGCAAGAGATGCAATGATGTTTTTTTCAATTGCATCGATGCTAAAAATTAATTACAATCACGGGTTCACAACTTTTATTTATTTATTTAGAGTTCATTTTTGCAAACATATTTTCATAATGCATATGACTTATTGAAATACTTTAGATAGACTTGATTGCAATAATAGAAGTCATATGAAGAAAGTTTTAGAATATATATATATATATATATATATATACCAACAAAATGTTTGAAAGTTTGGGTTAAGAGAGCGTAGTGGTATCTTCTTTCTCTAGGTCTGCAAAAAAAGAAGGAAATTTTCCTTTATATAATAGTTTTAAGAATTACATAGGCCCCCTACATTTTAAGCAATATTTCTCTCTACAATTAAGATTATGACTACATTTAAAAAAAAAACGCTATTATCATGCAAAGATGGTGCTAAATAATCTTTCTAAATTTACTTGTAGGGGCATCAAAGTTGACACGATTCGAAACCTGACTTGAAAAAATTCTGGTTCGAGTCAACTCGTTTGTAAAGTGGGTTAGGTACGGATTTATATTTTCAACCTGTATGAAAATATGGGTCTGGTTTAGGTTGATTGAAAACCTGACTTCAACCCAGGTGACCCGCGGTTCCGGACCGCTCATCCCCTAGCGACGACGCCTGGCCAACTGACCTCAAGAATTTGAAGTTAATTTAGAGTTCGAACCAATGTAGGCCGCGGACGTGCAACGTCTTCGCCGGGCCGGTTGACATCGCGTCCCACCTCCAGCAGTCCATCCTTTGCCAATTAACCCTCCAACATCCAGACGATCCGGCTAGTAGCCAGCCTCACTAACCCGCTGGAGGATTGCAGTATTGACTCCCGTGCTTACCCCTAGGCCCCACCGCCGCATGGCCACATTCGACACCCGAACATGTGCAACTGTTTCGTGTTTGTGGGTCGGGTAGGGTCAACCCGGTTACCCACACAGGTCAGACTCGGGTTGGATATTCTTATTCATCTACAAAAATGGGTAGGGTTAAGGCCAGCCCTTTTAAACCCAAGACAATCCAAATTCAACCCAAACTTGACCCGCAACCCATTTTAACACCCCTATTTACTTGTCTACATCCCAAAATGAAGCTGTACTAACTAGATTGCATTTAACAACTACCTTTGACCCCACCAATCAAAACTTTAGTTAAAAAACTTAGCACAGGTAATCTCACTTTTAAATATAAAATTGAAATTATGTGTAATTATTTACTATAACTTCAAGCCTTTATCCCATTAATTATTTAATCCATAAAAAATATAATAGCCATTGTATACGCCAAAGCCTTAGATTCCAGATGGAAGACACGTAGGAGACCATTGATCTGAAAAGTAGCTAAAATATTTACAACCAAGCTAAAAAAATTAATTAATTTATACTTAAACTAGCCAAAAAAAAGTGCAATATGTTAACAGCCCCATGCCACTGCACTATAGTCTATAACCTATTTCTAATCCTTCCGGCCCCAACGGCTCAATGCCGGTTCGGTCCACCTCATCCGATTTGACGCAATCGGAGCTCTTCGGGCTCGTGGCAAAGGGGCATTGGCGGCAGCGAGGACAGGTGGGCTGGGTTAAAAGCCACCGGTCGATGCAACGCACGTGAAAGCCGTGGCGGCATACAGAAAGAAGCCGGATCCGGTCCCCCGGTTCGATCTCGGCGAGACAAATGGCGCACTCCAATCCGGAACCAGCTAGCTTAAGACCGTGCGAGAAGAACTCGACCGGGACCTTGCGGATAGCTCGTCGGCGAGCGGCGGTGCGGGGGAGGATGATGGGGAACGAGGGTCTCGAGCGGCCTAGCAGGCGGAAAATACAGCTGATGATGGCGTTGAGGACGAGAGCGCATATGAGGGCTGTGAGAAGGACAGCAAGTATCATGATGACGTTGGTGTCGAAGGTGGTGGAGGATTCGCCGGTGGCGGACTTGGGTGTAGTGATTGTAGTGTGGAGGAGGAGGCGGTGGGAGGAGGGGGCCATGAGGAATTTGGATTTGTGCTTGTCAGAATGGAAGGGGAGGGACATTTATGGACGGAAAAGGTGGCAGCGGTGCTTGGTGGGCCTATATTATAATGCAGGTGTGATAGGGACAAATTTTAAAAGGTTACTTTCTGCTGTGGTTTAAAACTAAGGCTTCTTTTAACACAGTGTATTTTTACGGCTTCTTAAAATTGAATTTTAGTATAAAAATTTAAATTTTTTATTAAAACTCAGTTTTAAAAAGTGGTAAAAAAGTCGTCTCAAATAAAGTCTAAGACTTCAAGCTCATTGGGAACAAAATATTGAAAAAAAATATTAAATATTTGCATTAACGCAACTAATTTATACATTAGAAAAAATGATTGCTAAATATATCTTTTAGTGATAAAGAATGAGTAAGTTCTCTAAATAATAAAGAAGTTTGATATTAGCAATCAAAAAAAAAAAAATATTGGTTGTTAATTAGCTATTTTCTTATAGTGCCAAAAAGTTTTTTTTTTTTTGGACATTTAGGCCATTTAAGGCAAACTCACACACACAACGCATAGACATAGACTCGAATCCTGAACCTCTTAGTTGGAAGTCAAAGCTCTCAACCAATAGGCCAACGAGAGTTGTGTTTTAAAAATTTTCTGTCTGCTTTGGTTTAAAACTAAGGCTTCGATTTGGGACAATTTTTTTATAGCTTCTTAAAATTAAGTTTTAGTATAAAAATTTAAAGTTTTGTATTAAAACTGTTTTAAAAAGCTGTAAAAAAGTCACCTCAAACGAAGTCTAAGACGTCTAGCCCATTGGGAACAAAATATTATAAAAAAATATTAAATATTTGCATTAACGCAACTAATTTATACATTTTAAAGAAAAATGGTTGCTAAAGATATCTTTTGCGATAAAAAAATGAGTAAGGTCTCTAAATAATAAAGAAGTTTGATATTAGCAATCAAAAAGAAAAATTGGTTGCTAATTAGCTATTTTCTTGTAGTGCCAAGAAGTCTTAGGTTTGAAGCTTAAATATTTGATGTTTGTATAAATTTGTCTTAATGACTCAAATATCTACGATTTAATATTACTATATTATGCAATTAGCAAATTAATAAAACATAAGAAATTCAATTAAGCATTTTTTTAATGAACAAATCTTCACGTCATTTGTGACTATATACACTAGGAACCAGCCTTAATTTTTAGGGGTGACAAACTTATAAGTAGTTTTCTCGACCCCTATTTGTTCATATTCGTGATCGTTTTATGCTTCATATATATGCCAGGGGTCCAAGGCGGGGGTTTGACCCGCCCGATCAGGTCGCGTGGTAAAGGGTAGCACCATTGCAAGGGTTTTCGCCGTAGCGCCCCCGGAACAAATTTTAATTGTAAGGATATTTTTGAATTCTCTTTACTATTTTTCTTTGTATTTTGTTCATCATTCTCTAATAATAACACTTCTACACAATGTGTTTAATTATGCTAGAGTTAAATGCATAAATACTATAGTATTTTAAAACCTTTAGGATGAGGGTAATAGCCCCTCGGGCTTAAGGAGGATATATATTTATATTAGAACTCAAATTTGTGCATGAGTGATATTTTAATCTTACAAACAAGATTAATTAAATAATATGAGAGAGAGAGAGAGAGAGAGAGAGAGAGAGAGAGAGAGGTGGGGCGAGAATTTGTAGTGAAGCTCCATGATTTGTTATTGTCAATAAAAAATAAAACAAGGGATAATATGTTGGGTGTCTAAGGCTTGACTTTTTATTCTCTATTTATATGTGGGAATAGAGACATGACTCTATGAGAAATATTTTATTTAAAGAAAATATATGAATTACAAAATATAGCCTAAAAAGGACTTATCATAAAATGAAGATTTGCTAGATATAGTTATAACTATACATTAGTGCTTTCCAAAATATATTTCGCTATGATGGTAATCAATAACTCTTAATCGCTTGACGAGTTCAATCCAAAGGCTTGTTTTTTTAATTGTTTTCATCAATGCCGTGTTGAAGATTACAAATATTTGCGACTTTTGTTACATTTTATCAAATTTCTTCATAATTTAATAAATAAGATTTCTATGTAATTTTTATTTTTTTAATTATTTAATTTTATAGTTGTGCTTGTGCGGTTCATATGTTAATTTTATTTTGCTTTAATTATTTAAATTCAAAGTCATTATTAAAAAAGCTCTTTCATTGATGCATGTATTTTATATAAACAACAAATCTAACTAACCATATAATTATAAAATTATGATTAATTACTTGAAAGTTTTTTCTTAAGTACAAAAAGGGTACAAAACATCATATATATTAAGTAAATTAAAATAAAAAAGACCAAAATTTAATTGATAGCTTAATCGTATAAATTAAATTTGTTTTGTGCCTGAAAATATGCTTAATATTTCTTTTTCTTTCTCAACAATTCATTAGACTTTTTAATTTTTATAAAATTGAAATATAAAAGGCATTAATTAGAGAGCATAATGGAATAAAATTCTGGTTAAGATGTTTGTCAATATTAAGTACTTATTTAACTAAATAGGAATATATCATGCATCTTAATTAAAAAATTAGACTTAATTTTTATTTAGGATAGCTTTTTTATTGCTTTCTAAAATAGCTTTTTAGTAAAAAAAAAAATTAAACTAAAAATTTTGTACTAAAATGCTTCTTTAGAAAACTTAAAAAAAAAATTCTTAAATGAAGTCATAGTGAGAAAGTACTAAATTTTTTATAAGATAGAAACTATTATATATTCTTATAACCCAACTGTAAATTATATATATATTTTTTTATTTTTTATTTTTTTAACTTTTTGAATCCTAAACCTTAAACCTTAAACCCTAAATATGATCATTCCCTCGTGCACGAGCAGTCGCACTCGCCCTCGTGCATTCCCCCTGGTCGACGGGTCTATTGTGCTAGATTGGGTTGTACCCGGGTCGGGTTCAGTTTAAAGTTTATGACTCATTTACATAATCGGGTCGGGTTCAAGTTAGACGAGCTGAAACTGGGTCAATCTTGAGTTAGAATTAAAACCGACCCGAAAACCTATTTCGACATCTCTAAGTAAAATGATAAAAAAATTAAAAATTAGAGGGGAAATAATTATGCAGAATTGGTTAATATAAGAAATTGGGTATATATTTAAACATAAAATTTTATTAAGTAAAAAAGGAAGGAGTACAAAGTCATCAGACCTACATCCTGTGAAAAAAACTGTAGTGACCCAAAACAAACAAACAGAGCAAAATAATCAACGATGGGGGACTTAAGAATGGAGACCCCAGCACCAGCCTAGCAGTCAAGTACGGACCATCCATAGGTGGCAATAAACTATCAGAAAACCCAAATGTAAATTATATTTTGAAGTTCTAATGTTGATTTAGGTTTCATTTGGGATGTCTTTTAAAGCAACTTTTTAGTACAAAAATTTTAATTTTTTACGAGAAAACTATTTTAAAAAGCAGTAAAAAAATCGTCCCAAATGAAGCCTTAATTAAACTAACTACCTAATAACACTAAACTCTAAGTCAACCGATACCCTAAATTCTAATTATGTTCAAATAATCCTTAGTTTTTATTAAACTAACTACCCAAAAAAAAATCAGTGTAGATTTACATAATCACATCCCTCTATATACACTATTCCCCCATATAGAGGGCATTTTTTTCACTATCATGTACCAGGGCAAAAACACCCTACTATAGATTAATTGTATGGGGCTTCCTCATGTTAATATTTGTCATTTGAGGTTTGGAAGATTTAGAAGTTGCTGTTGACCATAGATATGAGCATCCGAAAACTAAGTTTTATTGCATGAAATATGCTGTCAAAATTTAAATGTATTTGAGTGCGTTGAATTTGACCGTTTATATTCACATTCTCTTTAAATTACAGAGCTTATAGTCTCAATCGCTTTACCTTGATTGCTGAATCATCAAGAAACTGCAGTTGGACAACGGTGGTCAGAAGACTGCAAGTGGACAACGATGGCCAGAAAACTGCAATTGGACAACAAAGGTCAGAGGATTGCAGTCGAAAAATGATGATTAGAGGACCACAGTTAATCGACGATGATCAAAGGATTATAATTTGGTGACATAGTTGGAGGGCTATATATAGTATAGTCAAACGATGGTGTTCGGAGGAAACCAGATAACATTGGTCAAATGATCATAGTCAAACGATATTGTTTGAATGATCATATATTCAAGCAATATTTGTCGGAAAATCATAGTTGGGCAGTAAGGTGAAAGTGGATCTGAAGAGAGAGATAAGTTATGCTTTTCCACAAGTTTCCCACTATAAACTCAGTTGCTATAAGTTTAAGATCAAAACTTTATGGGAAACATTTTTTACTTTATGTTACTGCTTGAGATCTCTGCTTGTTTAAGAGCGAATCGTATCTCATCATATATATTTTTTAAACTTCATACATCATTTGTTTATGAAAAGTTGTACTAAAGAAATATCTTACGCATTTCAAATGAACAAACAATGGCAAGTGGGGTTATTATTCGCTTAATAATGGTTTAGCTATTATAGCTATTCATCTGGCATCTCTCACTCACCCCTCGTGCACGAGCAGTCGCACTCTCCCTCGTGCACTCACTCGGGTCGGCGGGTCTGTTGTGCTAGATTGGGTTGTACCCGGGTCGGGTTCAGTTTCAGGTTTATGACTCATTTATCTAATCGGGTCAGTTCAAATTAGTCGAGCTGAAACTATGTCAATCTTGAGTTAGAATCAAGTCCGACCCGAAAACCTATTTCGACATTTTTAAGTAAAATGATAAAAAAAAAGTTAAAAATTAGAGGGGAAATAATTATGCAGAATTGGTTAATATAAGAAATTTTGATATATTTTTTAAAATATTTTTAAACAACTTTGTATTTAAGCTCCCAATTATTAAAATATTTTAAGTATATTTTATATTATTTTAAGTACTGGTTAATATAAGAAATTTGTCTCACCGAGATCGGACCGGGCGACCGGAT